GGCTCGGATCTAGATATGCCCATTGACAACGTCTCCAACACGGCGCTGCACTGGGCTGCAACTCTCGCGCGCGTATCGCTCATGCGTTTACTGGTCTCTAAAGGCGCCAACATGTTCCGCGGTAATGCCGCTGGGCAGACACCTTTGATGAGCGCCGTGTCAGTAAACAATAGTTTGGATCATACCTGTTTCCCAGAAACTTTGGATATTCTAGCGCCACTCATCGAACTTCGCGATGCCCAAGGCCGCACGATTCTTCACCACATTGCCGTCACTTGCGCTATCAAGGGTCGCGCTTCGTCGAGCAAGTACTATTTGGAGGCGCTATTGGAATACCTTGTGCGAAGTAATATTGGTCACAGCCAGGCCAATACGTATGAGAGCAACGGGAACCACCCAAAACCCATTGGACTGATGCGCTTCATGCAAGAAATGGTCAATGCACGTGACAAGGCAGGTAACACCGCTTTGAACCTCGCTGCCAGGATAGGCAACCGCAACATAATATCGCAGCTCGTAGAAGTCCAAGCAGACCCTTCGATACCGAACCACAAAGGCACGCGGCCGCTCGACTTTGGCGTCGGCAATGACGTTGACGCCGACGCACCATTAGTAGCCAACAGCCCCAGCAAAGGCAAGGCACCGCTCAGCAAGGTGGAGGAGACGAGCAGGGAAATACAGCCACGTAAGTTTTCTCGTCATGGTGATTGTTTGTGGTTGTTTGCGTACATGCTAATCGGGTTACAGTAATGAGCGGTATCCTCCAAAGTGCAAGCCTCCAATTTACACAAGAAGCACGCCTGAAACAAGACGCCATCGACCGCACTAACGAAACGATATCTCAATTATCTGCCCTCCAAAAGACCGAGCAGCAAAAACTCGAAACCCTTCGTGCACGACTGCGCATCCGACAGGACCGTGCTAAGCGCATCCAAAATCTACGCCGCTGGCTTGACCTCCAACGCCAGAACCTGGCCGTCAGTACCGGAACTGCGACCGCGGACTTGCGGGTGAAGCGACAAATCGGCTATGCTGATCACGAAGGTGCAAACATCATCCTTAATTCAACCGACCTTCCTCCCCAACTCGTCGCGTCAGCTGCCCAACTGCAAAACAAGTCGTCAGACGGCGCCGCCTACCTCTCCACACCCCTCCCCATGCTTGTCGACACCAATCTCCTCACACAAGAACACGCCAAGTCCATTGCTAATCTGCCATCCACGTCTGTCCTGCGACACCGCCTCGAGGCGTACGCGCAAAACAACTACCAGCTCGCCGAGCGCAGCCGCATACTGAAGGAGAAGGACGGCCAGCTCGAAGTCATGTACCGCAAAGTGGTGTCGCTGTGCACCAAGGTCGACGAGGACCGCGTGGACAGCGTGCTGGAGGGACTCGTGCAGGCGCTGGACAGCGATCCGCTCGATGGCGTTGAAGTCGGTCGCGTGAGAGAGTTTTTGAGAAAGGTGGAGGGCGTTGAGGGATGAGAGAGGGCTGGGCTGCTGCTCTGTTTTTTTTTTGGATTGCTGTTTTTATTTAGTTATCGTTGTAAAGATGATGATGTTTATGCATGGCTACGATTCTCTCTGCCCGTTTTTTTTCTCTCTTCTTCTTCCTCTTCTTTTCTTTTGCCCGTTTCTTTTGGAGTGCAAGTAAATGTGGCTTGGCTGAAGAGAGGAGGATGCCTTTTTTTTGGGGGGCTCTTTTGCAAGAAGAAGTTGTGGGTAGGGGGTGGGGTTAGGGTTTTGGGTGCCAGTGGTAAAAAGTGAGATGAGGCCGAGGCCCCGTCATTCCTTTTTTTTTTTTTTTTTTTGTTCTTTCTTTCTTGCTTCCTTACCTTATTTCATGGTTGGTTGGTTGCAAGTCATGTGTGTGTGTCTGTGTGTGCAAAGTGTGCGTATTTATTTGTGTGATACCATTCATTCTAGTCGAGATCAGTAATGACGGTTTTTTTTTGGGGTGGGTTGGTTTGGGTGTTTGGGTTTTGAAGTTAAGGTGAGGTGAGGTGAGGTAAGAGGTTGAATACTTCTTTATGTTTATTTAGTGTGGATGTATGTATGTTACGTAGGTATGTATGTATCTAGGTACGTAATATATAAGATATTTGATATTTGTTTAGTGGGTGGTTGTGTGTGCGTAGATTTATATATGTATACATATATCGTTAAACAGCCTTCCAACGTACCTTCTACAGACTGTTGACGCTTAATCCAGATTTTAATTTTGTGTTAACTGTTTATCCTAGGGTGCGCCAAACCCCATAATGTATTGATGTGTTTAGATATGTACATGGGCATGTGAGCACGTGATTTGTTTACGACGGAGCATCAATGGGAGTTGTGGGTCCTTGGGGGGGCGGGAGTCTATGTACATTGATGGGGAGGAAGGTAGGTAAATGCAGAAACGTGCTTTTGTTTGGTATGTAACGCTTCCCATTTTTTTTGGGGGGGGGAGGGGGGATATCTTGGGCACGTCCACGTCGGTGGGGTGTTGGCTATAGGGGGTGGACGTGGAGAGTGGAATTGAGGGGTGAATGGAAAATATTAGGAAAGTCTGGTATCGGATGATCTGTAGATATTTGTACAAGATTTATATCGTCCTACGTGTTAATGAATGTTGATGCATGCTGTAGAGCCTCTGGGGTGTTCAAAGTAAATATTTCTGTGAATCTAGTGAGTCTTAGGAGGGCTTAAGAAAGATTGCAATATAGAGTGACGTGGGGTTTATTGAATAGGAAGGCTTGTCGAATGATAGGTAAAAGGTCACATCGATTGGCGGTGGGTATTAAGTGAATGGGCGATTAATGATGGCATGCTCGGTATTACGAGGATGTATTGAAAGTACACATGCAGGATAAGTGACCATTAATAAAAAAGGGGGTTTGGGGGGACCAGATATCTACGGACATGTGTAGGGAGATATCCGGAATGGGGTCTGAGCTAACTGGGAATACGGTCTGTAGCTACGGATGGATGAGGAGTATAGGGAGTAGGGGCTAAATTAGGAGAAATCAGGCAAACAGAGTCTGAAACTGACATCGGTAACTGTTTTGGGGCTGTGAATTTTGGAATTTCGGAGCTTTGCGGATTTCGTCATTGGTTGGAGGTATGGCTGCTATTGACATCTTCTTGTGTTTCTAAGTAGGGAGGCCTCGTAACTTTCTTCGCTCATGGGTATAGCTGAAAGTGTCGTGTATCCAGAGTATGGCTGTCGCTGACATTGCTTAATAGGTATTGGCGCTCGTTGAATTTGACAACGACTTGCCTCATAACACAATTCAATGATTATGGTATACTGAGTTGTATCATTAAATCCACGCGGTACGGTTAGCTCCAGTGTGAACTACCGTTCGGTCATACCCTGAATTTGAAGGCCTTATCTCAACGCAAATCATCTAGTTCGGTTTCTCCAGGCTCTTACGCCATTCGTATGATCGCTGAGATGGATAAACGATTTTTCACAAAAATGCCACATCTGAGGCGGGGTAAATGTAGGGGTAAGTCTGCCTCGTTGCCTTCTTCCAGCTTCAATGCTAGCCCCATGACCTGAAAATAACACCAGGTCCGAAGCAGCACTTGACAATATAGTAAAATCCTGTCTACTCCAGTGGTATCGAAATTTCGCATTGTGGTAAAGATGGGCTCCAACAATAAGGTAGGCATAGAGGTAGAAACTTTAATTATGAAATGGAAAGTTGATTGATGAATAGCACATGCACACTATGAACAGAGATGATCACATTTTTCGTGGATTCAGATTGAGACGAAAAGTAGCGCTCGGGCAGGGATAAAGTGCAAAAGAATTCAAAGTCCGGCACAGTTGGCTTGAGGAGGGGGCGATGAAGGAGGCTGTAGGGTCAGGTCCTATGATGTCTGGGTAGCAGTGGTAGATATTGTCTGCGGTCGTTTGCCGCAACATTTTGTTCTTTGTGAGTTTTTACATTCCTCGTTTTTCACAGTTTATTTTTTGAATCCCATATATAATAATTATATTCCTCAAGTTCGAGGCAATCCAGCGACCAGTGCGACTGCTAAACCACAATCAATTGTTCCCGTTGCCCCGCCCGCGAACTCGAAGTCTTTTTCCACAGCCGTAAGTCGACTGATATTTTCCCCAGCTGCAAATAATCCCCTATATAGAGAAGGACCCACTCATCCCGGATTTCGTTTTCCTCGTTTCTGCTCCCATTTAACTAACTTCTTGTCTGTAATAACAGCCTACGGCCGGCCAGCCAGCCACCAATGCTGGAAGTCCGAAGCCTGTCTTTTCTGCGGTTGCAGACGCCAATCTTCCTTCGTCTAGAGTGATTGTTTCCTTTCATCTCAAACAAGCCACCATATAACAATATCCTACGCCGAAAGTGTCTTGGAGGCTGCAATGGCAAATACAGGCATTCCAGCTTTGAGTACCGCTGACTTCGTACCTGCAATCCAGACGAATGAACCCGGTTTCTGCCGCCGTAAACTTGCAAAAGCCTGCCTCCTCGCAGACTGCTAATAGGCCAGCAACATTTGCTGCAGCCGCCAATCCTACGTCCCAGGTGAACAACGCGAAACCGGCATAGTTTAGTGGAAGAATGCCTGCCATGTCAAGATACTTAAGCCAGCTTTTCGTGACATCGGCGGGAGACCTGGCGTTCGATTCCCAGCCGGTTCTAGTTTCCCTTTCCCCCCCCTCCTTTATTGGGTTTTCTGGTCCGTACATACGCTGCGGAAGAGGTCCAAAGGGTGCGTATTTTTGACTTCTTCTTTTTGCAGGCTCGAATGCTTACGGCAGGCGTGACCTTCGAGACCTCACCAATGATCAAAATTTCCGTTTGCATCTCTTTCATTTCGAGACGGAGCACGGACACATAAAATTTTTGAATGGCGGCTGTACAACCAACACTGGGGCAAACGCAGGAGCTATTTAGTGTGAGCCCTCCACCAATCATACTCTCCATTAGCGATTTGCCGCAATATACATATACGTATTATCTCTAAAATCAGAATACAAATAAAAAAGGACTGGTAGTTCAGCGGTAGAACACCTGTCGTCGTTCATAGCATTGAGCCTTCGGCTCCCGGGTCTTCGACTCAACTCCTCCGATGAGCGGCGACAGGAGACCTGGCGTTCGATTCCCAGCTGGTCCAATTAAACCTTTTTTTGCTTGATTCACTGCTTCCTGTCTTTTCTTTTTGTATCTGTTATCTTCTATCACGCGATACTTTCCCATATCAGTGAAAAGCAAACGCGCGGGAGAATGCGCATGCATGCCGCCTAAGGCCAGTAAATGGTCGTGTGGCATTGTTGCCTACTTTTACTCACTTATTAAATTCCCACTAGAGGGGTTACTATTACTACGAATATATGCTTTTTAGTTATGGGAGAATAGTATAATTCGAACGGGACTGGTAGTTCAATGGTAGAATGCTTGCGCTGAGCTGCCCTTGCGCTCGCGATGAGAGATCTGTGGTTCGATTCCCAGCTGGTCCAATACAACTTTTTTTCCTGCCGCCTGTTATTCTTTTTTCCAGTTTGATAATATTAGAAAATGTACGTTTCCGCGTCTTACTGCTCTTTTTGGCAAAACGCGCATGAGACGCGCATTATTGGTGCGTTTCATAAAGAAGGGGGCCACCCTAGATGTCCGAAAACCTTTAAAAAATCAGCTCCACCTGCCTGATTTAGTAATACCACACTTCTGCATTGTTTTATGTATTTTGCTAGTAAATTTCGCCCAGAGTGACATAATCAGATGTAGTAAAGTTATTGTATACGATGTATTTGGTGGTGAGGGTCCTCAGAGCCATGGTTTTGGTGGTGAGGAGATCCGAAGGGCCCTCAGAGCCTTGGTTTTGGACCAGTGGTGATGCAGTGATTGTGAACGCTTTTACACGTGATTTTGCCCTGTAGCTATTGAAATAATC